AAGCTAAGAAGTGAGCAAGTGTGTCAGAAATTGGTCACAGGTGTGCTGCTTAAATTAACATTTCCGATTTGATTGATGATAGTGTATTATTTCCTAATGCTTCAGCGTGATAAAACCTCGATGTATAATACAAGAAACATTGAGGTCTCAGATTAACACATTATAGTCATCTTTCAGTTTAAACACACTATGAAGCCAGCTTGAAAGCCAGATGCAGAGATTGAGTAGGTTGAGCCTCTCTTTTGGTGATTTTATTATATCCATTCACCGTAGTGATGTCAACTGAAATATATAGAATACTGACAGACCTCACAGCTTCGCACCACAATATGTAACAACATCCCACTTCAGTTGCAGCAGATACGTGCCACTTGCCTTTTGGCCAAGGTCCTTGTGGTGTAATCTCCTAGACTCTCCCCTCCACAGGTTTTTACAGCTTCCTTTATAGACATCATAGAACTGGTCGTTTCCTACATAAACACTATATTCTCAGACTGGGTACAGCGTGTTTTTAAATCAAGACCTGCCTTTACGTTTTGAGTCATATGCTTAAAACATAAAGCACAAATTGGCAATCGTTCACCTAGGGAAGTTGTCCGTTGCCACAGAAACAGACAATAACAAAACAATGCAAGCTGGGACCATGGACAGTGTACTGTATGTGACAATAAGTGACATGTGTTTCCTGATCAACAACTGTATTGAAGTGTGACTTTCCTGTATAGAATCAATATTCACAAAAAAATCAGGCAGCACGGAATAACATATTTAAATATTGAAGGCTGCACAATGGCATTAAATCAAAAGATGAGGCAAATAAATATGGATTTGCAATTAACCTACCGATTTAAAAGTCAATAATTACCTGTCTTGAGCCTACGAAAAGTCAACAAATAGGGCTGCATCTGAATGTTATTTCATTATCGATTTGTCTGACAATTATCTTCAGTTTGTTTTGTCTGTGAATTTACAGAAAATAGTAAAACATGTTAGTCCCAGTCTCTCAGATTCCAAAGAGATTTCTTTAAGGGTCTTGTTTTGTCATTCAAAAACCCAAAGATATATTCTTTTGTTCACAGGCAATTTTACAATAGAACAATTAGTCTATCAACAAAAACAAATGATTAGATTATCAAAATAGCGATTGTTGTTCATTTACTAACTAATCATTGCTGCTCTAGAAGGGCTCATAAAAATGGAGTTAATAAACATGTTCAAACTTGTACAACTGAGCTAACGCATAACTGGACCTTGGGGACTGTTGCCTTCCAACAGTGACACTGTCACTACTGCTACTGCTATTCCTACTCATTCTGCATCAGAGAAACAGATCAGGACTTGGTTGGGATTCAGGGGCTTGATCCAGGACACTGCAGCATGTGGATCTCTGCACCCCACTGCTTTCTGACGTGATGATAACTGCTAATCCATCTAATGAATTCAACCAGCAGATTTCAGTGTGCCAGGAACCTAAACTGAAAAGCATCCACTTCAGGCCCATCGTCCAGGCTGCTTCCTTTTCTCATTAAGCTCCACGACTCTCAAGAAACTGAATACAGTACAGCACTGTTCACTGTGCAAGAGCTACCAGGGTGGTTATGAGTTAACTTTCCCTTTTCAAATGCCACTGGACTCTGAAATATAAACAATAAATCCTGGAAATTGAGAAAGGTTCATTTAGGGCAACTGGTGTGTGTGTGTGTGTGTGTGTGTGTGTGTGTGTGTGTGTGTGTGTGTGTGTGTGTGTGTGTGTGTGTGTGTGTGTGTGTGTGTGTGTGTGTGTGCGTGTGTGTGCGCGCGTGTGTGTGTGTGTGTGTAAGACATGTGACCATATGGAAATGATTAGATGTGCATGCTGGCACTTATTTGCACATGTCTGTGTGGAGTGTTTTCTGCAATCTCCAGGTTCAGTAAGTCAATTACCACGCCACAGACCCCCAAACACACAAACAAACAAACACACACACACAAATAGCCTCTATAACTTGTCTGAGAGAATAAAGACGCACAACACGGTATCCGGGGAAAAACAGCGGCTGTTATCATGGCTGCCCGTAGGTGTGTTCGTCACACATTGTAAAACACTCTGAGCGACACTGCCTCGTCTGTTTATGTCCAGCCTCACCTGGAGATGTCAACAACAAATGTGACCACAAACACTTCCTGTTTGTGGCAACGGGTTTTTGTGAGTTTGTTTACAGTATTTTCTTGTGTTTTCTTTCAAGGAAATGTGTGACGACAGCTGAAAATTACAGCTCAAAAGATGATAAACTGCTGATAATGTGACTATATTTGAATGCATGACTTATTGCATCACTTTGGTGGCCCTTTGTATTAATTAAAGGGGGGTTGTTGTCTTTTGTTGTGGTTAAACTGTAAAAATAAATAACAAATGATTCAGTAGCAAAAGGACATTCTGGTAATAAGCTATACTAAAACAAGCATTATTAAGTCTGTTGGAAGCACAATTTTGGCGTTTGTCGTGGCTCAAAACACAACATCTATATGACAGTGTCTAACCGTGTCTATCACAACTGGACCTTCTGTAGACACCCCCCCCCCGGATTCGAAAATGCGGTTGTTCTAGTCAGACGGACGTCACGGAGGCAGTCACTTTGCGTTGGATGGCCTTTTTTTATAATGTCCATATTTTCACTGAATGGTCGTCTTGAAAAGGGTACTAACAACAACATCATCTTCACCTGTTGCCATTTCGACGTAAAAAAAACAATAAAACTTCAAATGAATTCCCACGTAGCACTTACGCTGGATCCTCTGTCTCGAGCCGGTGAACTAACGGGCCTTCTAGAGCAGGGGTTCCCAACCTTTTTTCCCAAGAGCCCCCCCCCAAACGACTCCTGTTGGAAGTCAACAGCGGTAATTAAAGTTTAAAAGTCTAAAAAATGCTACAACTACTGTCACAAACTGGATGAATGTGAAGTATTTTGTTAAAGGAGGATGAAAGCGTAATTAAGGAGCACTATTGGAGTGACTTTGATGGTTATTGGACTCATGATTAATATATTTGGATTCCCGCTGTATGAAGAAATTAACGGACGGCGCAAGTGGAAACAATTCACAAGGGGATTAAACTGTTTAAAACACATGCTCAAGTAAGTAAGCCGGATTTTGCCGATGTGTTTATGTGGATTCAAAAGTCGTAAATAATCTACAAAATGGAGGAGACCGATCTGATCGGAGCAACTGTGACAAATAATCTGAAACCGGCATGGACAATGACTATGTTTTAAAAATGCGCTTATCCAGAAAAGCCTGGTTTGGACACTTTACGGGCAGAAGAAACATTTCTATTAAAGAAAGAATTATACATTTCTGTCTTTTTATGCCTATAATAGCTACTAACTTCAATTTTTATTAAAATTAATTAATCAATTATTTTTTATATTTTATTGTAATGTAGAGACAAGGCTTTTAGTGACAATCATGTATTGCGTTACAATTATATGTAAAAAAAAAAAAAAAAGTCTAAATATGATATTTGGCCTCAAATCATCTGAGGCCTGGCGCCCCCCCAGGTTGGGAACCACTGTTCTAGAGTACCCTGGAACCGAGGGAAACTCTGAAAGAATACGCCCATTGGCTCCAAATCAATATATGATTGGTTGATCAAACTGTCAATCCAAACGTACGCTCTCATTCAGTGTAAGGGCCAGGGCATTCTATCAAGGATATAGAATACCTTGGTTGAAGGATATTCTACCCAGAGACCCAGAAAAATATCTGATTGGTTGCATTTTTTTTCTAACGCGAAACTACTGAAATGCGTAGTGCATGGACCGAGAAGGACAAACAAATCAACGTAACACTGTCATTTTACAGACCAACAACACAGATACCATTCTCGTTTATTAATTTTATTTACATTTGATTACATTTTATTTATATAATTTATTTGATTTTGTGTTCCAGGGTATTCTCTGAATACCTTGAAGGCCCTGACGGTTCACCACTGCTATATAATGAGGACGTTATTGGCTGTGAGGTCATGTGGTTGTCTCTTCTAAATCAAATGTGCTCTGAGAAGTTGTAAAGGCTGGATTAAGCACTATTTAAATACAGTCCATTTACCATTTACCAACAGTTTTAGTCTCATTTCGACCAAAGCATCTGTAGATTGAGTGAGATTTACCTCTTCTTCTTTGGAAGGGAAGAGACACTACTAAGTGAATTTTTTTAGTTGCTAATTGAAAAAACGCCAACTGGGGCTCTTTGAGGTTCAGACATACCTTATTTCTTCTGTGTTAAAGCAACAAAACAATGACTAAATTAAGTGAACTGCTGCCAGGATGATACACAATCTAATAAACTATGGAGTGCAATTTGGGAATTAAATAAATCACTGAATGGGTGCCGTAAGATTTCAATCAAATTAGGGTTTCACCTTAAATCTGTAAGGTTTTGCCAAACATCAAACACATTATATCCTTATAATTTAAGGCAAATAATTCCTCCATATCTTGTCGGATAATACTTTAACTAGCTTGACGAGGCATAACATCAAAGAAGTTATGCAAACTGACTGTGAAAAAGGCCACATAACTTGACATGAAGTCAAAAAACAGCACTGGGATTAAAAAAACCATGACCAAGAGACATTCAGGGAATTCTAGAGATACATTATGAGCCTCGTTGTTCATATATGTAGGTATATACAGTTTCATACTGTGAAATGACACTCTACCCATGGTGCTGCACAGGACCGCTGTCAGTGCATCCAGGACTGCTGAACACATTAGCCAGTTAATGGGCTACTTAAACAGACAGAGGCGCAGAGAGTGGGGAGGGAGAGCCAAAGTCAAAGGCCATGAAGGGAGCAGGGGAGTCACTGACAGGCAGATAGAGAGTATTGAAAGAAAAGTGAAAAAAGTTTGAGAGGGGAGTGGAGAAAGAGGTTTGAAGGAGGGGGGAGAGAGAGGGGTGAACCTCCTGGAAGACATAAATAGGCGAGAAAAAGACTTGGAGCTTTGCAGTCTCTCCTCGCGACAGCCACCGCCCTCCTCTCCCCTTCTCCTCACCTCCAGCCCTCCTCTCCACTCATCTGCTGCAACCATCCATCCACCTGGAAGCCTGGGCAAAATCAGTGAGTAGCTTCTCCACCACATCTTCATTATGTTTCCCAGAGGCAGCACTGAGATGTTTATATTTAAGGAAATGTCAGCTGAACATGTAGCTCTACCAAATATGCATGTATAATTACTTATGTCATGGTAGAATTGTATACAATCATACTTAAGAACAAACTAATTCAGATACCAAATAAAGTGTGCATTTCACAGATTGATGTGGTTGCAATGTGTTTTATTTAGGAAGGGTAGTGTTGCCGTGGAATGCAAATATCTGTAGCAAAACACATCCTGCTCCACTTTTGTGAACATATGTAAACTGAAAAATATGTTCTTACCTTACCTTTAAGCTACATTTAAAATGACTATATTAGGAGCAAATCTTTGTCCACATTTACTAACTCTGCATTAAGCAGAATGTAATACTGGGTGGTCTACTTGATTAAGGAAACTGCACATCACTATATTTGCATGCTGCTCATGTATTTCCTCTTCGAGGCAAAGATCTGCTGCGAGAATGTGCTTCATAGAAAATGAATTTCCCCCTGGGGAACACTTAGTTCTTCATTAGTCAGGGACTCTCATCCATTCATGCAATAGTCCTTAATAATACAGTTAAAAGAGAAGGACCTGAGAGAGAATAGCTAAACTAGTGAACAGCCATTGAAATAGTCCAAGGAGGTTGTAGGACGAGTCCCATGTAGCTGCCAATCATGATATTATAAATTATATTAAGTTAGGAAAGTCAGCTGGATTTGCTTTATTCTTTGTGGCAGGAATGTTGAGCTCACCAGGCTGTAACCACAGCAACAACAAACACCACACTATTTGTTTCTCCATTATTGCAAGATCTACTCCTGCCTGATTTTACAAGTCTAAACAGTGGAAAAACAGTGGGGGACGCTTAAGTAAGACAGTGTCTCTCTGACTCACATGCCCCGCTTGTTAAAACTTGTTAAACTCGGCACTGATACTGCAGACAGACGCTCTGCCATCCCACCAAGTCAATCATGTCTTGTACTGTAGCATATCAGGCAGGAAAGGAAGAAAGACTGCACATATTCTGTACATCCAAAAATAAATGAATAAGACTTACTAACTCTAAATGCACAAGAACTAAAGAAGTAAAGAAATCATCTTGTGCATTTGAATCTCAATAATCAAGCAATTGTACATCAGAGCAGAAATCATGAAAAGTTTTAAAGCATGTGGAGTTTACACCAGCATCTTGATAGTAATGTTACTACTATTATTTCTCCTTTCTTTGCCATCCTTTTCCATCTTCAGGTCATTTATCCTCCCTAAATAAACCCCATTACCATGGACACCACAAGGAACATCCTCTCCTTCTCTGAGGCTCTCTACCACCTGATCCTCATGATGCTGACTCTGGGCCAAGGCGTTCACTCAATGCCCGTCCCTACTGACGTCCCCATGTGCACGGCCTCAGAAACAGCCCAGTACAAGCTAACGTTTTCTGGGAAGTGGACCCAAGCAGCTTTCCCTAAACAGTATCCTGTGTACCGACCCCCTGCTCAGTGGTCCAACCTCATCGGTAAGTGCACAGCAAGACACCGTCTAACTGGTGGTCACAGTAATGGCAGCATATGTGGAATAATATACTGATTGAGCAACACGGAGTTAGTGTGGAAACTAATTTCCAAAAATTACTCAACACAGAATAATGTCCTGTTAAGTTAATTGCAAAATGTCTCCTATTTGTTATAATTAAAAAATAATAAATGTTTCTTCCCATTGAATACATTACGATAATCATTTATTGTCAGATCAAGACTGAAATTTGACTTGCATCACAGCAGCTCCATTTCCAACATCAACCAATGCCAATGATCTTCTCAATAAGACACAAAGACATTACAAAGTTTTACAAATAAAAACATAACCTTATTTTTAAGATAATATTTGTTGTATATCACATGACTTCCTATCCCCCTCTCTTTGCTCTTAGGGGTGACCCACAGCACTGACTTCCACATATGGCAGCGTAATGAGTTTGCCAGCAACGGAGTGAGGGAGTTTGCGGAGAAGGGCGAGGCCTGGACGCTCATGAAGGAAGTGGAGGCGGCCGGCGAACGCATCCAGAGTGTTTATGGGATCGTCTCCGCTCCCGCTGTCAAGGGAGGAACGGGCCAGATGAAGACAGAGTTTGAGGTCTTCGCCAGGCACTCTTATGTAAGTCTGTCAACACCTGGTTCCTTTCACTCTGGCACAGGTACATCAGAGACTTGTATCTAAAGGGTCAATATAACAAGGTGATGAAATGTTCTCTTAGCCATCATTCCTATCAGCATATGAAGATATTGTATTACCAATAGACAAAGCCAAATAATCAAGTTCATGGATCACGCAGATTTCTAGTTTGACCGTATTATAAACAAATTATTTACGAGTGAAAATGAAAGTTTTTCTGAGAATGATTATATTGTTGTTTGAATCCATTGCATCTTGCCGAGGTCCTAACTGGTACATCTTTAACCAACACGATATTTGGTCAGTGTACAATTATTTTTGGGGTGCATTCACTTTTATTTACCCCAGCAATTGTGAGTAAAAAAGCCCAAACAATAAAAAGGAGACAAGGGTTGTTAAAAATATAAAACTAGGCAAGTAATAAGTCACACTACTGTTAATTATTGATCATTAAAAAAGCATTACATTGTCAGAAAGTGCTGCATTGTTCCTTTTTGAGTGGTTCTGATGCAGCAAAACGGTTGATGCTTCTATAAAACTTGGTACAGAGCGTTTTGTTTCCATATATGCTGCATCGTAAAGAGAGCTTCCGAAATGTAGCAAGTTCAATTTATGTCTCTACAAAGTAAGTACAACTCTGCATGGTTTGGCTGTTAAACTTTCTACTGATGAGTCTCAGGGTAGATCATAAAGTTGGGGACATGTCTGACCAAAAACAATGTTAGGCTTGGACAAGAAAGGAGAGTGAGGAGGAGGAGGCGCGAGTGTGATTTAGGAGGTGAGAGAAATGGAAAAAGGCCAGTTGGAGAGACAGAAGACCCTAACCAAAACAAACTGTACTCGGTTGCTTACATAACCACACATGTGTAGGGAGGTGGGTGAGTTATTGGACTACAAGTTAGGCTGAAGACTACAAGTCTGAAAATGAAAAGAAATCTGGGCTTTGGAGTTAGAAGAAGTGAGTTTACCAGACCTCTGTAGCCCACTCCTCATCTGGACCTGAGGCAATCGGCTGAATAATCAACTGCCAGCATAACACCAAGATCTTGAACCACAGTGTAGGATACATTCATTTGTAATAGTTCAGGTGCTGTTGTAGAAGTTAAATGAATGGATCCATCAAGTTTATACATTTATTGAAATAATCTATTTTTCTTTGTGGCTTTAACCCACTGTCAAACTGATACATCATGAGGTCAAATAGTTATCCAAGGACTAACACTAAGATCAAACCCGGTGACATGAAATAACAACCGATTTCATTCTCCTTCCCACCTCTTTCTCCTCTTTTTCCTTATCTCCATCGCTCACTCCAACCCACCTCTTAATTTCCCTCTTTTCTCTCTTACTCACTTCATCTCCCTCCCCACGGTCTACTTCCTCCCCTCTTTCTGCAGCTGTCATTCCTCGTACGTCTCGTTCCTAGCCCAGACTGGTTTGTGGGCGTGGAGAGCATCGACCTGTGTGACGGCGACCAGTGGAAAGAGAATGTGTCTCTGGATCTTTTCCCGTACGACGCAGGAACTGACAGCGGGTTCACCTTCTCTTCTCCAAACTTCGAGACCCTCCCACAGGACCAAATTACACCGGTGGGTCATCCTGAGTCAAGTGCAACATCCGTCAATCCAAAGCCAAATAACACAAATGGTGTGAACAGGAACAAGAGCTTAACATGATACAACCAGGAATGTGGGAACATTGTTGTGTGTGTGAAGAAAAACTAAATTCAATCATTTCAACAGAAGATAGAACAAAAGCCTTAAGGGTCGACAGCACAATTTGAAAATCATTGGCATGAACACTTGAGTACTCAAACTACTCAACACACAATCTATCTGACCTTATCTCAATGATGTCAATATAAATGTTGATTCCTTCTTTCATCTCCAAACAATCCACATATATTCACTTTTATTCCTTGTCCACTTCCCCTCCACAGATCACTTCTTCCTACCCCAGTCACCCTGCTAACTCCTTTTATTACCGCCGCCTGAAACACCTGCCGCCAATTGCCAAGGTGATGCTGACCAAGATAAAGAAGACCAATCAGATCATCAGCCTGCTTGTGGAGCCCACAGAGTCCAACCTACTGCCAACAGGAAACGAGATTGAAGAACAGCTCATAAGTAAGTCTGAGGAGCAGAAATACTCACACTGGATGGGGTATGTTGATGAGTTTAAGGGACTTGCGCAAAGAATAATACGCAGCCTTAAAACAAACACAAGTTTAAAAACTACATCTGGTTTCACACTGTTCAGCTGATCAGTGGCGAGCCGTCAGGGCCCTCTAGGCCCTCTGTGAGGGCCTAAGATATTCCAAAAAATAATATTTAAAAACATTAAAAACATATATATTTTTTTTAAATATATATTTTTTTAATATTATTTTTGTTATATTTTTCATTAGTTTTACCAAAAAAAAACTTGATTTAATAAAATAACATTTCCAAAGAAATAAATCCTTCGAATCTGCCTGTTCAGTCTCTGTTTGAATGTCAGTTACTATAGCGGGCCTCTCTGCGAGGGCCCGCTATAGTAACTGAACGAGAGAGTAATGTCAAATGACAGTACAATTGACCAATCATATCTTCCCTCTAAATGGGTGGGTTTTATTATCGCGGACTTTATGACGAGTTCCGCCCGCTGTGAAACTTTTCTTGTTTCCATAGCAACAACAACTTCCTGTCAACAGCGTGAACTCGCCTTCAAAATAAAAGCATGCCAAATTACACTTAAGACATACAACTGCAACGAAAGTAACAAACACAATGCAATATCATTTTCAATGTCAAAGAACACAAATTGGGTTCACAGGTGTTGTTTTGTGTGGTAGAGGGTCGCTGTCATTGATGCGTTTTGCACCCTGGGCCGTTGTTTTGATATTCCGCTGAAGTATACGCTGTGACGTAATAACTATTTTTTTTTCTTTTTTTCGAGGGAAGGGGTGGGGGTTAGAGGGCCTACATGTAGGTATAAAGCTCACGGCTCGCCACTGCAGCTGATCATCAGTGGGTGACAGTTTTGTAGAGTCCAACAATGCGCCAGAAAAGCTAGGGAAGCAGACGACAAGCTAGCAAGCATAAACGATTTTAAACATTCAAGAAATTGGCTTTGCAGATGTTTTATGAGAAAGGAAATGCGATCAACAGGATTTGGTAAACCCTAAATGTACATACAATTCACTTTGGTCGGAAACACTGAATGTAAACATGGTATATTTGACTAACAGATCTAAATGTCCAACAGAAAATCAATTTTTGAATATTTCCTTGGTGTAAAATAAAAAAATCTAAACCATGCAAATAATGAGTTAGCACAATTTGCACTGGTCGATTAATCTACATATTAAAAAGAGATTAAGTGGTTGCAAAAGAACAGATGTAGGAGCTTGGGACTAAGTCTATTGCTGACTCAATTGCTTTCATTTGGAAACCATTACAGGCCACACACAAACTTAATTGCTACTAACCATAAACCATAGAAACCAAGTGAAAGCAGGGCATCAGAAAATACCAGAGGCACATCTGGCATCCAGTGGAAAACTCTAAAGATGAGAGGATAAATAAGTGAAAGAGAGAAATTCTGTACAGCAATGTTTTGGTCGTGACCTAAAATGAGATCCCAACACGTTTGCTTTAACCAGATCTGGACCCATTAGATGAAGCTGTGTTTATTTAATGATGGTTCTCAGACTGTTAAACATTAAGACTCACAGATTAGTGGTTGGTGTAAAAAGAAGCCCGACTGTAAGTAAGAAAAGAAGGCGAAGTAGGAAAAACCAAGAGTGTGTGAGACTATAAAGCAAAGCCAAACAATACAGTGATGTACTCTAAAGAGGGAAAAATAACCTTTTATAAAAACATCTCTTACCACTGGAAGTCTAAACAGGTTTTTGTGGCAGGAAAAGAGAAACAGATAGAGTGTCTGACTGGCAGGCGGTTCGATGTTCAGGGTAAATGCAAAGGCTTGACTCAGCATCACAGACTACAAGTCCGTTCCCCTGACAACCCATCAACAAACAACAGAGAGCAGCCAGGAGTCTGTCGGGGTTTCCTGCCTTGATCCCAATGTGACATCTTACCCTTCTGTCTGTTTATCTTTCCCTCCCTCCATGAATCCCTCTGTCTCTTATATGCCTTCTCCCGGGGGCTTGAACAACAACTCTTATAACAGATTAGAAATCACCTGTTGTACAGTACATTCGATCTTTGGGATACAAAAAGATAAATCATCTTTGGGTCTTACATCATTTTATCATGTTATCCTTTTTAGGTCCTTAATGGACACACAAGATGAAGGAGGATTTGATTAGCTTGTTCCATCCCTCCTTCCTTCCATGTAGCTTCCGTACAGCCTCCCATCCTTCTGCTTTTCTACTCTTAACTCACAGCTAAATCTGTGATACAAATCAGCTGTAAGGGAACTCACAACAAGGTTGATGGAGGAAGCCCGGCAAGTTCAACAAGTTGGAGAACGAAAAAGTTCAAGATGTGCTCTAATTCCCTGTATTACAGTAGAAGTGCCTTTTAGCACGGCTCAGAATCCCTATCGGCTGCAGGTTACTCATTAAGTGTATCAAAAATGAGACAAGCATGGTCAGCAAAACGCTAATTCAATAAAGGTTATATTAGATAATTAAACATACCTCAGCAGCACAACCACCGCCAATAATCTATTAGCGTAGCTTTCTGTTCATAAAGAGCTGCACACACAGCATGCCACCATTCTTTGTAACTAATGTATACACTTTGATAACAAAAAATAAGGGTTGAATGCCAGCATGTTGCCCTTTTATGACTTATTCCTCTCCTTTCCATTCAAACTTATTAAAGAGACTCACAAAAATCAGCCATTTGCAGCTTCCAAAAAATAAATACAGTCATAAGGGGGAAAGAGAGTCCTTTGCAGTTACCTCTTTGAATTGATATATAAAAAATAGATATACTTCTTCTGTTGCAATAATGTACATTTCCCTGTTGCGGGACGAAGAGAGGAATTCTGATTTCTGAAGAGCTAGAAAACAATGACAAACCAAGTCTAAATGTTAATGTGATTATATTTCCCTCCCTCTCACTGCAGATACCCCTCTGGACTGCGAGGTGTCAGTGTGGTCTCCATGGGGTTTGTGCAAAAGCAAGTGTGGAGACTCGGGCGTGAGGCACCGCACACGCTATGTCATAATGCACCCAGCCAACAACGGATTAGCCTGCCCCCTGCTGGAAGAAGAGAGAAAGTGCTTCCCCGACCACTGTTTATGACTAAGCCAGGAAAGGAAGGAGAAGAAGGAGAGGAAGGAGAGGAGAGAGAAGAAAGAGAGAAAAGGGAGGAAGGGAAGGAAAGGAAGAAGACGGAGAAACAACAAAAAAAGGGCTGTACTGTATTCACTTGAGGCTTAAATACGATGAAGAAGACTCCTTCATTTCCTCCCTGGCTTTGCCTTCTGTCTGTGGAAATGACTAATGTAATTATTGACTGTTAAACAGCAGAACAAGTATCTTCCTGAAGTCACATTGATATATCTGACAGCACTAGAGAGGTGTAGTTTGGCAAAATAGCTATTAGACACCAATTCTGTTTTGGCAGATTATACAATTTGACAGGGAATAGCACAATGCTGTTTCAGCCATTCACCAAAAACATTATAATTTGGTTTCATTTGAAATCTCTGAAGCTCATAGAAATGTGTTTGCCAACTGTGGATTATAAACCCCAGGAGCTTCCAAAAAGAAGATGTTGAAATAAATCCATATTAATAATAATCTGAAACGCTATACTGAACAGAACATTTGAATAAACTCAGGCACAAATGATTTCTTATATCCATTAGCATTGATGTAGTGCTAGCAACAAAATGAGTCAGACATCGACATTAATGTACCATCCTCCCCACATTCAAAACACAATTTTTAAAGAGAGATTATGTTTGTTTGCCTGAAGACAAAGAATATATTTATTACAGGATTTTAACCTGTAGTGTACAGTATATCAAGTCTGAATCTATAAGTTGTATTCCTCTATGTTATTGAGATATAAGTCCATTGCTTTTGTAAAAAATGCTAAAAAATGTACCAAAAAAACATGTTTTCTGTATGATCAATAAAGTGTAAATACATCTAAAGATATTGTGATCTCATTGATTTCGGTTTCTTCAAGAAAGCGACAGATACTTCATCGTGTACAGAGTCGTATCGCCTATATAATCACAATAACACTTGTGAGTTTAATAATTCTTTAGTGCCCTTTGCTCAGTGCACTGTTTGACCTTTAAATCTGAATCACACATTTGGGCTCCAAGGGCAATATTACTAACACTGTGGCTGCAGGATCAAATTGAATTTAGAGAGAAATACTATTAACTGGAGAACCGGAGTTGAAGCCTGATGCTGGCTAGGATTCACCCTGATGAAGTGTTGGTCATAAAACTGATTAATGCGCTCAACTATTTAAAACAGTTCACCAAATGTTGATTTAGCCCACAAGGTCTGAAATCTCACACAGCACACTTCAAGCTGTGACGTCCAGTGCAAAACATCCCACTCTAAAGCAGGAGTTACATTTAATAGGCAGAACAGACAGCAGCTACACTTGAAGTGACCTATTTTTTCAGAGGAGGTTTCTTGGCAGGATGACGACAACACAATTTGAAACGGAGAGAAAGTTTGCTTCTTTAGTGAACAGCAGTAGTCAGAACATCTGGTGCAGGAGGAAGCTCCTTCCGGTTTGAATGGCGAGGGACAAGAAAAGGACTGAGACAGAAAGTCAGAGACATGTAAGTGTAAAGTAAATGCCAAGTATCTGGTACTATGATCAATATTACATTATGCTAAATAGTTTTGCCACAGTGTGTTTTTCAAATGTTTCCAAAGTAAATTCTGTACATATTTATATTCTGAAAATGTTTTTAAAATGACAGAAATAAGCTATTTCAGTGTCAGGGATATTAAACAAATTGATTGTCCTATTACGCCTTTTGTGGTTTTCCCTTTCCTGTAGTGTCTTATAGAGGTTTTTGTGCATGTAAATGGTCTGCAAAGGCTAAAATCCCAAATGTCCCTGCAGAGGGAGTTTCTTCCCCATACACACTCATCCCCCCCCCCCCCCTCCCCCTCCTGCCTGAAACACCTCCATTGGACTCCTTTGTTTACTTCCGTAGCATAGTGACATTACTATGTAACACTTGCTCTTCTATTGGCTTGCGCTCCAACACATTTGACCTGATAGGCTAAGGGAAGGGACATCTCTCAGTAGTTGACCAATCAGAAAAGAGCAAGCCAGCTAACCAATCAGAGCAGACTGGGCTCTGGTTTCAGACAGAGGGTGAAAAGAGGTGCTGCAGCACAGCCAGTATGAGAAAAATAAAGAGCTTTTTGAACATTAAAGCATGTTAACATGTCGCAGTAGAGACACTGCATACACATATGAACCTAAACGAGCATTATAGGGCCCCTTCAAGTATTCATCCAACATATAAAAAAAAAGTGTGGAATGAGAAGGAAATCTGATTATTTGCTGACTGAGTAGAAACAACTTTTGCAGATGCTAAATATGAGATGATTTATTCTGTGTGTGGGGGGGTTGTGGGTTGGTTTACTTTATCCTATAAGTGACCTCGTCTAGGGTTGGTTTATGGCACTACTGTATGTTATGGTTTGGCTTTCAATTTTCAACAACGTTTGAACTCTGTTTAATACTGTAGTAACCCACACTGTGACAGTGGTAATCTTTAAATCTTAAAAAGGTTCAAAGGTGAACACCATGTTTAAAAAAATATACAGGAATCAGTAGGCCAGATGAGAAGTGCATTTGTCCAATTTTTCAAGGTTTGCCATAAATCACTGTACTACAGTACAGTTTGCTAATATATTCTTAATTTTGAAAGACATCTACATCAGATGAGCACTTTTCTGAACATGTTACCTTTCTTGCATCTTTCTGTAGCTAGTGAGTTGACCCTTAGGGCAAAGTTCAGCATCTATACATTTTGAGAGAGCAAGCACTTGGCCCTCGGTTGGAATTACACTTACAGCAGTATCAGAGCAGTCTCCTGCAACATCAACATATGTAATCCCATGAACCCTAATCTTTTACAGTTATATAATAGTTTGTAGATATTTTCTCTATTTTAGCAGTTTAATTCCACAGGTTCTTTTTTTGTTAATATGTCACAATGTCAACGTCAAATGTCTCTTTTTCAAGTTGTTTTTGCAATGTTGATTCATGATGTTTTTTCTAAAGCATTTGACTTTAGCAGTGTGTAAGTCAGACTGTCCCTTAGTCTGCAGGAAGTGGTCTGTCCTGTTACTCATTATTCTTAACAGCTTTACTATTGGCTCCCAGTTTAACCAGTCACAAATTGACCAGAAGGTCTCGTCACACAAAATAGCACCTGTGAGTTTCTCACACTCAAACTGTCCCTCTTACCTCCCACTTCAAATATATGCTGAAGGACATGTGGGTTTGTCTATAGTCAATGGCAAATACATCTGGAATTAGAATTTGGAGATCTACGAAAAACTGAACCTACATGCCAAACATTTGTTCACTGTTCAGTGTATTGTAATTGAATAGCTCATTGTTAGCTGAAAATGAGTTTGCGAGGCATTGGCTTTCTCTTCCAGTGTTACCTGGTGTTGGCAGCAGCCATGTATTTTGATCTCGGAGAGCAGGAGCAAAAGTGCATCATCGAGGAGATTCCTGAAGGCATGCTCGTCACCGGTGAGTCCTGGAGAGGGAATATTCCTCCTGAGTGTCGTTTACAATCAAACACAGGGAATCAATGTGGAATAAGGTTTGGAAGACTGTATTTTGAATTGCCACGTGACAGTTCAATTTAATGTTATGTGTACCTCCATGATGGTGTGTCTCTTATTTCAGCAAGTGTAAAAGCCATTTGTGTAGTAAAGTGGAGTCTTTGTAAAAACGGATTTGTCTGTTTAACATAAAATTACATGGAAAATCTTAAGAGTATTTCATTTATTGTACAAGTAACTAATTGTACTAAAAAGAGGAAAAAGTACTAACAATCAGTCCTACAGTGAGAGACATAAAAGTAATGTATATGTTAAATATTATAATAGTTACACATTCAATAATTTTTTTGTAAATCAAATATAAATGTAACTTTTATTCCCTCTCCATGCTTAATATAAGCATCACAAAATCAAAATTGTAGAGGACAAGGTCATAATTACGTTTTTGAGTCCACTGTGTGTGATTGTGTACTTAAATGCACTCATGTAGACTGTGTTTTACCTTCAGGGTATTTCTTGTTGGAGCCGTGGGAGATGAATGCCCTCTCCCACTCCCCTCACCTCGGCGTCACTGTGACAGTCAGAGATCCAAACCATGAGGTACTGCACTCACAGGAGAAATGAATCACCAAGTCAAACATTCGCTGTGATGGTTCATTAACACATGTGCCTATAACTGGTTTCCCCCTTCAGAGCAAACCCAAACAAGAATAAAATATATGAGTCACTAACATACACACACACACCTATAATTCATCTTGTTGACAGTGTAGAAAGAAGTACTCATATAATTTACTTAGTAATGTACACCAAACTGTAAAAGTCCTGCAAATCTTATTAAGAACAAGACTTCAAATTCACCTGTTTATTTTCCACCGCAGATTTTTGCTCACTCACGTAGGAGAAAGAAAAAAAATCTTTACTTTCATTTCCAATTCAGCTTTTTTGGAAATGTTTGAAATGAGACAAAACCCTAGCTAAAGAAATGTTGGCCTAACAGTGTCTCTCCTGCTCTCTAGGTTCTGATGTCAAAACGCTATGGTAAATTTTCTAAATTCACCTTCACATCGCACGCCTCTGGTCAGCACTACCTTTGCTTCCAAACCAACTCCACAAGGTTTTCTGTATTTGCTGGAGAAAGACTGGTGAGACCTGTGGACACAAACAGAAAATGAATTATTAAACGATGGGGAGAAATGCAACAAAACATACATTGTAATATTATTATATTGAACAATAACCCATTTTCCTTCATCATGCTGAGCAGAAGCTACATTTGGACGTTCAGATGGGAGAGCACTCGATAGACCCCGTCCCTGACAAGACCAAAGACAACATGAAGAATCTGGAGAACAGCCTCCGACACCTCGTAGATCAGATGATATTCATCACCAGGCAGCAGGAGTACCAGAGGGTATTAACACATTTTACTGTGCAAATTAAAAAAATGTTTTTGGAAAAGAGTGTTTTATATTAATGTTCTCCCTCTCAGGAGAAAGAGGAGGTGTTTCGTCAGATTGGTGAGAACACCAACAGCAAAGTGCTGTGGTGGGCCATGGTGCAGACCTCTGTGCTGCTGACGGTTGGTTTCTGGCAGATGAAACGACTCAAAGATTTCTTCATCGCCAAGAAGCTTGTCTGATGATGACCTCTGACTGCAAAAACCTTCAAGTGTATTGGGTGCATACTGAATGCCTATTACACAAACACTCTTCTCTTTCTGCCAATTGCTGATACTTAGGATTCAAAACTATATATGGCAAGAATAATTAAAGTGTAAAGATGTTTGACAGTCAAATAAAATCCACCAACACTTATTTGAATGTCGTCTAAATACAAATTATTGTTTTGTCTCATTCTGTTCTTCAACTCTGTCACCCTTAAAACTGGATTACATTAGGCAAGAGTTTACTGTATACTTTGTTGGGGTTTAAACCAACACAACTGTTTGTATATATATATATAAGTATAGCTGTATTGCTTACCTTATGTTGAAATATTAAGCTAATTGAGAAAAGTTTTCAAGTAGTTTCAATACTTCATCTAACCGAGATTAAGCTAGTATCACTGTATAGGCCTATTGGTATATGGATATGTGCATTAGCTAGCTAGTTACGTTGTATCATTTAAGAATATTAGATTATTCCGTTTTTATCATTAGAAAATACATATAAACGTTTTTTAACCTTGTAATTCGTTAATATGGCGCACATTTTGGAAAGTAGGCCTACTGAGTTAAATAGTAGTACATATCTATCATATAATCAAAGCATGCATTTATGTTAAAATTAAGTGTCAACTCAATGTTGTGCAGTAAAAGTACAAAATGTCCCTTTGAAATATAGTGTAGTAGAAGTACAAAGTAGCAGAAAATGGAAATACTCAAGTAAAGTAAAAGTACCCCAGAATTATACTTAAAGGTAGGGTAGGTAAGTTTGAGAAACCAGCTCGAGTGCGCTAGAATTTGAAAATACACAGCCGGAAAAAATCTGCCACTTCCTTACAGAGCCCCTCCTCCAACACACACGAACGCGCACATGACCAATGGGGGCACGAGATAAGTTTGTGCACAGATGGAAGGCTGACAGGCAGGTAGGCCATCCAGTTATTTTAGCCGGGCCGACTAAAATGATTGGTCGTGCTTTTTACAGCGCTACGGCTTCCACAGATGACATTTTTTAATGGATTTTTTGTCAAAGCACTTAAGATATTCATTGCTATCGGGATGTTAAGAGCATTCCATGGAATATAACAAAAAGTGTAACTCGAGCTGGTTTCTCAAACTTACCTACCCCACCTTTAAAGGTAGGGTAGGTAAGTTCGTGCCCTCATTGGTCATGTGCGCGTTCTTGTGTGTTGGAGGAGGGGCTCTGTAAGGAAGTGGCAAATTTTCTCCGGTTGTGTGTTTTCAAATTCTAGCGATCTCGAGCCGGTTTCTCAAATGTACCTACCCTACCTTTAATTATATAATTGAGTGAATGTTCTCTCAGTTACATTCTAATTACATCTGAACAAAAATCATGAGTTCATGTTGGATATTTTTAAATAGAGTATTTAGGCACAAATGCAATAAACATAACCTTTTGTGAATGACTTAGCTTATGTTTAAATATTAAGTCAGTTGTGAAAACGTTTTATAAGATGTTTCAATACTTCATTTTACCGAGATTAAGCTAGAATATTTATAGCATTAGCCTAGAGATGATAACACGTTATTATTCGTGGTTAGTTAGCGTAAAAACTGACGTTAGGTGCCAGTTGTTAACGTTAAATAAGTAAATATTTAATATAGCTAAGCTAACAATCATTACAGATCGTTAGTCAACAGACATGTTTCTGTAGTTTCAAAAAATGTAAAAGCAGCTCATGACGTCACTCTTTAGAACGTCGATCAGTTATTTATGCTAGCTAGCTAGCTAACGTTATTAGCATTTAGCTTCATTTGCAGCGGGGTATCGTCGGTAAGGTAATTAATTGACATGTACATGCGTTACTCTAAAAACGTTGTACAAAGTTGTCTTGAACGTACACGAAAGCCAGAACACATTTTAAAGTAGAAAATGGAGCTTTGAGCTTCACCTCGCAAAATTAGCTAATGCTATGTAAACACACTAATGACTAGCATAAATGACTTAACAAGATGAGTTAGCTTAATTAAACGCTAACCTAATTTTATTTTTTTGTTGCAGGTTTTCAAATGTCTTACTGGATCTGCTGCAACTCCTGCTTCCTTTGCCCCAGTGCTGACAGAAAACTGGCTGTCACCACCTGTGGACATATCATCTGCAATGTCTGTCATCAGAAAGGTAGAAAACAACTTAACGATACTAACTTTACGACAGTCAAAACAATCGCTGATGGGGAAGTTTAGCTTCACTTCAGTTGTAAAGTGATCAAACAGGGACATCTGTTGGACTCTATGGGATATTGCATAGCTGAAGACTGAGTTATACACCGTGTATTCAAGATTGGAGCTTCTATTTAACATTTGAGCGGATAGTAGACAAACGAGTCCCCCAGTAAATAAACTCTTCCTTAGAAATACAAATGTGATAGTATGCCAAAGTTGGTTTAATATGAATCTGCTCTATTGTTATCAAGCAGCAGATGAAAGGAAATATTTGATCTAGTGAAGCTCTTTGTTAAGGGGGGCTTCCAGTATAATTACACAATTTGACATTGAAAAGAGGATAAGGGCATGGAAGTATTACTCAACTGACTACCTTGTGTCAGCCCCCTGGCTTTCACTAACAAATGTTACTTAAAGACACATGTATCAATCAGGAATAGACTCATAAGGACTATAAAGAGACCAAAACAACTGCTAAGGGACACAAAACAATTGCACAATACTCTAAATTACCACAATTAAAACACTGTATGACTACAAAGAGACACAAAACAACAACACACCCACTCAAAATGACCACAGAGGGACGAAAAAACACAGATGCGTAACATTATCTGACCATGGGTGCTTCTCGTCATATCCTCAAAAGAAGTAAGAGGTAAATTACACCAATCATCATTGGATATTGGATTTCTTGAAGTAATCTCCTGGAAGTCTCTCAGTCCCACTTTAGGAAAGCCGATCATATTCACAAGCCATGGGTCTGTTCCCGATGGGTCAAACTCTCAAGAGTTCGATTATATTTGAATTCGCTCTGGCTTCCAGGGTTAAACCCAGGGGTTACACTTAATTAGTTTTGGGTCTGAGGGGTAAGCACTTTGAGAGCCCCTTTTTGTTCAGTTCCTAAATTAGATTTAGAGAATCCTCTATTTACTATAAGCGTAGAAAGGATATGCATTTTGTATTGTTGTCCATATTTAATTGAAACCTTTCTTTCAGGAAAACCAGGCATGTGTTTAATATGCAACGCCAAATGCCAAGTATCACCTCTCACCGACAAAGTAAGCATCTTTATTCCCATTGAATCCTTTGTGTGACTGTCTGAGTGGGATAAAAGCACACTAAAATCAGACTGATATCATTATATTACATTATAATTTTGTTACATTCATTTGAAATGTCTTTGTTTCAGAGCAGCTCAGAAGTGAAGGCCCTGTTCACCGACATCAACGTTGTGGCAACAAAAAACTTCACAGAAATCAGCAAAGTTTGGTCATTTTCGATCTTATCATCAAATATTAAAATCTTGTTAATTGTTGTTATATCAGATGAAAGTCTGTCAGTTGGAGTTCTTTATGTGATATTTGTATTTTTACATAAGTATAGAAATAACAGTGACTTTATTTCCCTTTTCTCAGGTTTTAATGTTCCAGGCAAGACACCAAAAGAGACTGTTGTCTTACTACCAGCAGAGGGTGAGAGACATCTGTTCCTGCTGTGGATGTTTATTGTGTTTGTGTGTGGGTTTTGAGGGTTTCATTTTGTTCATCTGGCATGTAATGGACTATGTTGTCTAATAATTGTGAAATGTCTGCTTTTTGACATAATATTTTTTTCATTGTTTGTTACCATGTAGAAAGTTTGATTTAATCGATTTCCTGTTCTCTTCGCTGCCCACTAAATGTAATACTATAGTAATAATTAACACCGTTTATATTACAAGATAGTCACAAAAGCTGCCCTACTGTGTCCCCATCCAATTGATCAATTACAGGATGAGAAACTAGAGGAGGTACTAGTCAAGATGAAGCAAGAAATGCAGCAGATGGCAAAGTAAGTGGAAGCACACGTTATTAATGCCTTTTCAAACCTATTTCTCAACTGCAGTAAATACGAAAAGTTGGGTGCCTCCTATTTTCTTTGATTTTCTTTCATTTGAAGGAAGCTGAAGGACCAGAGCGCCTACATCACTAAGCTGGAACACTCTCTTCATCATCAGAGGTAAAGCATAGAGGAGATATTCATTTAAAAATCACTTTCATTATTAAACACCAATAGGTCATTTTTATTGAAAATTGTTTATGAGTTGCAATTGTATAATTTTTTCAAGATTTGAGCTCTTAAAATTCTATGTGGTGCAGTTTGTAAATGCTTATTGGCAGGTTTTCCTTCTTATTTCACAGCCACAATGCTCTCTAATTAGCAGTCTTTAACTTTTCCACCAATCAAGCCATCTTGATCTTTGCTAAAAAGCATCTGGCTGATGTTTCTTTTTTAGCAACTTCACTCACACAGGATTTAAACAATAAACATCACATGTCATACTGCATCAGAGATGATATTGCTCATGTAATGAGACTCAATAAGGATCTGTTAACCCTCCTGTTGTCTTCGGGTCAAATCTGACCGATTTACTACTTTCATCAATCATAACTTTTTTGTTTTGCATTCGATTGCATTAAGGCTTTATGATATCTTTAACAGGAGACATTTGAACATATACAATTGCTGATCACCACTTTCATTGAATTTTGGATGATTTAGTCAACTTTGTAACACCCATGGTGTTCCCGGTCAAAAATGACCGCCATAAAGAAAAGGAATTAGTAACCATCCGGATCAGATCACACACACACACACACACACACACACACACACACACACACACACACACACACACACACACACACACCACACACACACACACACACACACACACACACACACACACACACACACACACACACACACACACACACACACACACACACACACACATACTCTAGATGTGCCCCCCCCCCTGATGTGCCCAATCCCCCCCATGTGACTCACACCTAGTCTGTCTGATACAATATTTACAGTTTGAAAGGGTGTTACATGAAATTTGGTGATGATGAATGGTTTTTGTGTTAATGTAATAGCAGTTAAAACAGGACCGGTCAAATTTGACCACGAACACCAACGTAAGGGGGGAAACAAAGACAATAGGAGGGTTAAGGTAGTACAACCTGATTTGGAATTGAACGGCCTGTTTGAGTTTGGCAACACATAAAGTTATGAACAACCAGCTGGCTGTTATTCCTCTCCTCTCACTAGGTGTCACTCCTGGCACATCTACCACAGCTTACAACCATCACCAACACTGAATTAGTTTAAAACAGAGAGACTTTGTTTTTGAAAAAGGCCAGAAAATATAGCAAAGTAGTAATTAAGTGAAAGTTTTGTTAATTGATATGTATCTGAAAACTGTTGTAACAAATGTTATAGCATACATTGTTAGAATGTGCAGCATTGAGTTTTAAAGTACCAGTGCTGGAGCGTATTTATATTTAAATGTTTATTGTTTTTCTTACTCAGTGCCAAAGTTTCTTCAGTGCCTCAGATGAGCCACAGCTTGCATACTCCACATGGACATAAATCAGGTAAACAACAATCCCATGGTATACAATGGTGTCACTTTTGTTTTCTTGTATCGTTCTTTATGCAAGACATCACCTCTTAGTATGGCACTCTGATGTAAACACCCTGAACTGCCATTTACATTTTAATACATTTGTATCATACTATGCAATCATTATACCTGATAATACACTGTACATTATACCTGTTCATGAGGGGCTGCTTATATTTATTTCACTCATCATTGTTGATGTCTTCAGTGCAGGAATATTAGCTGAAGTTGACATTAATGAAGATCATTATTCATAATATACTATATTATATGTTACTTTACTTTATTATGACTAATAACTAGAGTCCAAGAAAAAGTGGGAGTCTGACTTGTGTTACTGTTGCTCAGACTGAGAAAGAGGTTAGATATAACTCAATACATTGGATATAAAAAGCGTTTGAAGTATCATATGAAAGACAAGCAATGTAAATTGGCCCTAATGTTGCTTTTTTTACTTGTGATTATTACTCCAACCAAAGGCTGTAAAAACATTTAAACCATATTTCAGCATTAGGAAACATGTTTTGTTTTTTTAAGCCTGACCAATCAAGATTACAAGTAATAAAATGCAGAGCGAAGCAGAATCGGCTTGTGGCTAAAAAAAGGCAAATTAGACTAACAATGTCTTTGTGGGCTTATCATTGAAACATCTATTTACATGTATTCCCTGCATGACCACCAATGTCTCATCCCCATTAATAATGTTTGTGAGTTAATGTTGTTTTTATTGTCTGTCAGTGTCAGTCCTACAGATCCCATATCACTCCCCCATGTCCATCTCTAGACACTCCTCAATGAATACCATGTGAGTATCCTCCCTCCATAACGTTTCACTCTGTATTTAAATATTTATTTTATGTTGAGTTCGCACACCTCTCACCTCATCTCAGTCTGTGTTTCTCTGCCTTGCTTTCTCTCTCACCATAAGAGCGCGACAGAGAGAATGGAGGAGGTATTCCACAGTGCAAACAGGCTATATCCTGAGTTCAGCCCCGGTGTCTTATGTTAGCTTTAGCTGCTGTATAGCTGTGCCCTGCCCTGCGGTTATCTACACACACACACCTGAATAAGCTAAGCTTTGTTTGGGTTTAGTCAGGATTCCCTATTGGGTTTCCTTCCACACCGTTGACACAGGATTGATTGTCTGCCGGCGTTTAATAGTACAAATGTTTTTTTATTCACTGAGACTTTAGATTCTTCGACTGAGCAAACAGATGATGGACGGCAGATATTAACCCCAGCTGCAGAATTACCGCCATGCCTGAGGGCTCCATTTAGTTTGGCATTTAAAAGTAAATCGATGCTAATATAGCTAAATTAATTTGTAACATAAAATGCTAGGGATATTGTAATCGAGTGCTTTTGAAAATATTTAGATTTTAGTCATTGAAATTAATATTGAATGTAAGAAGTATTCACAAGATAATGAGTTCCCAATACAAGCACACTACTTCTTGATATTTTGCTGTTTTTGCTCAAGTTTTCTACAAATATATATACCATGTTTTCAGTAAAATAATCAACTGATTTCAAGAAATTGCTATTGAAATGATGCATTATTATGATTATGCATCGTAAAAACCACTGTAACAACATTGAATTATCTCACTAGTTATTTCTTTTTTCATCTTACTCTATGTACTCTATGTATTCACAAAAGGTATCTTAGGTAATTATCCTGTATTCTTGTTCTTGAAAATATTTTTCCAAAACGTTAATATCTGTCTTGGGAATAAAACTATACATGTCGGGGTTAAAGAGACGTTTGGCTTGTTATTTAAAAGAAGTTGAAGCAGTGCTCAGCCCACTGAACCCAACAGGACTAATGAAGCGTGCTCTCATGTCTCACAGCTCTGAAAACATGGACGTGGATGAAAGGAGTCTGTTCAGGAAAGTAAGTGCTATTATTCTTCCTGTAGTGAGCTTCCATTTTTAATATACAGTGTGTGATGTAACATTGATTATCCATATGATACAGCATCTGAACATTTACTCCATGACTCTAGTACAAAAAGATTATTTCTTTTGAATAACAGGTAGATACAAAGGTATGATTTGTGAAGTTTCTCTGTGTCTCTGTCTCTCAGCCCAGCACCGTCCCCAGACTGTCGTTAATCAGCCCTCCACAGGACGGGCGAATGGGTATGTGCTCCGCTGCGCCTCATTAAACTGTGATTCATGTTGAATTTAGCTCATAACCTTGGATCTGCTTTGGTGATTCCTCTGAAGGCCATAACTCTGTTGGGGCATTACACCAGTACATTCAGGGTTAGTAGTTTGACACCGCTCCTCTCTTTATCCGTATACAAGTATACAGCCTTTAGTGCTATATAAGCATACAACTAAAGGCCTTTTAACCCTTTTGCATTCAGAGGGACATGATTGGCTTTTGAATTGTTAATCATACTTCTGGCTGTGTTAATGCAAAGGCTTATACTTTGTGAAGGTGTGAGTGAATTTTGGAGGTTCAACCTCAGCTCTTATATTTAGTATTTAATAAACCCTGTAGTCTAAATACAGACACTTACAGTAGGACAAAAATGTCCTCATTGAAACACATGCAAATGTTTTTGTTTTCACAGCCATTACAGAATAAAAATACATTCTATTATATCTAGCTTTACCTGGCTTCAAAATTGTAGTTTTCTTTTAACAGATTCAGCCATTTTTTAATGGTTGTGTTATGGGGCTTGTATGGTATTTTGAAGGCATTATGTCATTAGAAATCTTTTTAAAAAATGTTTTGAGAATATTGGTTGGTTATGATCAGGACAGAAAATAAAGATTTATATCAGTAACATTGAAATATAATATTATAGACGATTTTATTGCAACTTGTTTAGCATGAAGCACATGGGTAAATAAATCAGACGTCATGCTACTACCTACTAAAAGTCCCTTCTCCTCTCTTGAAGTGTGTTTGGTGGTTATGGTCTCAGGGATTAAAGGAATACAGATGTTCGCTGTTGTTATGTTTAGGATTACACCGACTGAGCTACCCTCTTTGATTTAGTAATTTAGTGCCTTAAAGGATTTAACCTCCTTTGTGGCACATAAATTAGCTTTCAAATAAGAGTTTTGTTAAGTAAATATTGAAATGAAGGAAATCACAATATTTAACCAGCAGCAGCAGATTTATTGGGCAAACAGACATTAAGAGTTTTCTTATAATTAAATAAAGATGACTCACCATTTATCATAAAGCTCCATGTTAGACAGGGTTGTGTACATGATGTAGGTGTGTTCGATGTGAACATTGTGAGAATTGAACAATTGAATTGTTATTTTTAGAATACGATTCACCCATTTATCTTGTCGACTTAGAGGTTTTTCCAAATGAGCATGTGATGGAAGAATAGACATAAAAGCTTAGAATGACACAGAAATACCTCAGGCCTGTTTTAAATCATTATGAGGAGTGTATGACCTTTGTCACAGATTAACACTGGATCTCTCTGGTGTTCAGGCACCATCCCTCACAGGTCGTCCAATCAGAGCTTGCCGGCCAACCACTCAGCTTCGTCGGCGACAGTCAGGTGACTCATTTAATTCATTAAAGAAATCAGAATACTGCTCGAAAAAATTTACATTATGTATGGATTCATCTTGCATTAATTGTTTCTGTAGCGAAAGAGTGCTATAGCCTATTTTTTTCCTTTGTTGCCATTACCATAGACACTGTTTTGGTCCATTTCACAAAGAACAACAAACTACTTACAAGCACACCAAATCTGTGGCTGAATATAGTCCCCAACTACACTGATAAACTCTTTAGTCCTTTTACTCACATTTGCTAGTTTTAAGTAATTATTTTTAAAATGGGGAAAGCTGGGAAATGTGGAAAGTTTGGACACATGCAGTGTTGGTTTTGGTCATATCATATTATTTGATCTCCTCTCCTCTCGCAGTCGTTTTCAAGGAAATCTGATGACGCCAGAAATTTCGTTCGGTCAGAGCTCTGGATGGAAATCTCCAATCTTCAAACCTCTCTCCTCCTTCAGACACTCCATGTCCTCCCTGGTCTGCCCTCCTAGTTATCAGACACACAAATAAACAGTCAGGAAGCCTTTAGAGGACAAACACCTGGCCCCTGACTTGTAATAAATAAAGGGTATTAATATCACCAAAGAGTGTGTTGTGTTTTAAATCAAAATGTAATGTATTCAGCTTGTAACGTACTGTACATGAATGACTTAACTCAGATCCTGTGTTGTCAAATCAATTAGAGTGATTGATTTTAAATGAAATATGGTGAACAGTATCTGATGTCATAGGTCAGGTTATCCAGCAGAGTTTAGCCATGTTGTTTTTGAGGGAACTTCTTATATTAATCCAGCAGCCTTACATTCCTTAATTCAACATTACTCTGCAGCACCTGTTCAATGTACACAAATAAAACAGGGATTAAGGAAAATCGACTAATCTACTGATTACTAGACTTTACAAGACAAGACTTTGAGAATGACAGACACACTCTGCAGTGACTGAACACCCCTCAGGCAGCGGTGCCGTTTACCACCCTCCACACTCCTGGCTTGCTGCTTGTAACTTCAGTAACTTGACTCGTGATTTCACCCTCCAATCTTGTTACAAAACAGCTGCAAGTGATGGCAAAGCGAAAAAGTGTAACCTTATAGACACATGAGATCACCTGAAGTCATCGCAGGGGAAAAGCTGATGCAGTGCGTTGGACAGATGTGTTCAGACAGGTCCACTCTCTCTCTGTCGGCCCGCGTTTCTGCCTCCATTGTCCCCGCCTGTCAGGGCGTTGAATGGCGTCTATTGAAGAGGGCTCAGGTGTGACTGTGTGTGTGTTCTGGGTTTGAACACGCTATATTCAGGCCCTTACCAGCATGTGTGTGTGTGTGTGTGTGTGTGAAGTTAAAGGGTATTGTACAGAGTCAGTAGGCCTGATCCTCCTCTGTGCTCCGGTGGGATCTGAGGTCGTTTCCTGTTTTTTAAGGTCCACTTAGAGAGAAATGGCTCCCCGGGGCAGAATAAGCTGTCATGGTGTCACCCTCTGACAGGGAGAAGACTAAATCACAAATAATCTCTACCTTATGCCCCCCCCCACACACACACACACACACACACACACTGGGTCATCTCCTGTGCTGCACCTCTCACGTTTACAGTTATTTTGTGTGTGTTTCTTTTACTTGTCTTTCAAAATTAAGGTTATCCAGAGACATTTATTTCTCCCTCTTAATCTCTCTTCTCTCTTTTACTTTTCCCTCTGCACACACACCTCTGCATGGCTCCAGGCTGTACAAATGAGCCCTGCCACTTCAGAGAGCTAAAGAAAACTATTCTGATGTCAGTGGTAATTATTCAGCAGCATGTTCCCACAGTCCACCCCCCTCCCTCTATTACTGTGTGTGTGTGTGTGTGTGTGTGTGTGTGGTGTGTGTGTGTGTGTGTGTGTGTGTGGTGTGTGTGTGTGGTGTGTGTGTGTGTGTGTGTGTGTGTGGTGTGTGTGTGTGTGTGTGTGTGGTGTGTGTGTGTGTGTGTGTGTTGTGTGTGTGTGTGTGTGTGTGTGTGTGTGTGTGTGTGTGTGTGTGTGTGTGTGTGTGTGAGAGAGGCTTCTCTCTTAATCTGATCCAGATTTCACACTTTGTCACTCAGTGTTTCACTCCTGTGCTGTTTGGTGCTGTAAATGTAATCCCCTCAAGGCAAGACACGACATGAACTAAGTGATTTCACACCGGAGCTATTTGTCTTTGTGAGGTGCAAAGAAAGTGTTCCTGTAAAGATTTACTGTGTAGAATCCCCTTTACTGGTTAACATTTTGGTTGAAAAAAGACCAAAAGAACACTGATGAAGATGTCAAATATACGTGAAAAGCCACCAGGAAAGATTTGAAGTTATTTGAATATTCAGAAACGTATTTTACATTTTACTTAATTGTTCTGCACTCTTAGTATCCTCCTTTGAAGGAGTTTGATGATCCAACACAAACCATGTACACCTCAATCTGGGGGTTAATGAGGTGATCAACATATTCGGGGAAGAAGATATTCTTGTTGCACTCTTTTTGATTATTGTGATATTTCCAACTTTAATAAAAACAAACAAAAATAGACGGGATCATCAGTCCTTGGTATTTGTACTTTGGTTATTTGGGGTAAAACAAAGATTACAAGTATTTGTGTGTCATTACATGGCTGGGATTTTTGATGGATATAATATATCTAATTTGACAAAAAAAGATTATTGCTATCCCTAGTACTAGCTGTTTTATTTTTGGCTGGTTTTATGTAGGAAGGGAAATAACCCCGAAATATCATCTGTTAGCTTTTAATCAAATTCCATCGATCATCTGTCAAACATTTTACAAAATATTGTAATTTAATGCATATCAGTGGAACAGGGTATATTGCCATGACCTATAATAAACTGTGTATGTGATAAGTGTCATCATTACATATGTGATGTGTATTCTCAACCGAAATGCACTTCATTTTGTAATACCTCCAAATGCACTCATTGAAACTAGCCTGAAAAAAGAAAATTCCTTCCACAGATGGCAGAGTAAAATCATTTATGGAAAATATGGAAGTCAATTGTAGTCACACAAGCTGCACAGACTAGACATCAATTTGATCGGCCTGTAGGTGGCACTATAGCCTATCTGAGCCTTTTTTATATATCATGATAGCTGCAGCATGCATTCCTCTGCTGTGTGTGAAGGCTTTTGGACCACAGCTGCCTCTGATAGGGATCAACAGGATGAGGAAGGGACGCTGAGGAGGTCACACACACACACACACACACACACACACACACACACACACACACACACACACACACACCTAATCACATCTGCTGCTTTTGAAGAGGGTGCAAAGGATGACATCGAGGAATCGTTGAGCGCACGGGGCAGGAAAGGTTTGTTGCATTTCAGCGGAAGAGAGCTGAATAGGGGCGGTTTATGAGTCAAAGAGAAACAGGTGAGGATGGGTGACCTGGACCACTCGTATTCTCATCAATACACACACACACACCTACACACACCTACACACACACAGGCATCCCACATGTGAAGGCAGGCTGCTGCCTTTGAAGGGGCCCGGCCTTCTCCAACTGTCCCATGCATGCTTGAGTGATGTCAGCAGGACTGTGGAAAGAATCCTTTCCTGACACACACACACACACACACACACACACACACACACACAACCCTCCTTATCACAGGTAAATCAACTTGGTTTATATTTTTTACTACTTTTTTTAAACAAATGCACAGACACTTTAGCTTGCATAACACACACTGACTGACTTTCTTCCTCTCCTTTTCTGTCCTACACACACACACACTTGGCAGGATGTGCAGGGAGAAAAAGGGAACGAAAGACAACACCGAGATTAGGAGGCTTTTGTCACGGCTCTGTGGCAGACTTTAAAGGCATTGGCTCCCTTCCCCTCTGCCAGATTTCTTTCTTTTCTCACCCTGTCTGTCCACATCCCTCTCTTTTCACGGAGGGGGGGAGAAAGTAAACATTTGGTAAAGAGAAAGGGAGGAAGGGTGGAAGGGAGGGATGGCTGGAAGAAGGATGGAAGCCGCCTGTTGCCCTCTTTTAGCCTCTTTTTGTGTTTTTGTTTTCCTAGTTTTAATGGCGGCTTTGTGGCTGTGTGGAGGATGAGTGCAGAGAGGGAGAGGTTTGCAAACAGAACAGCGCTTCAATGCCAGCCAGGTGTCTGTGTTGTTCCCACCTGTGTGTGTGTGTGTGTGTGTGTGTGTGTGTGTGTGTGTGTGTGTGTGTGTGTGTGTGTGTGTGTGTGTGTGTGTGTGTGTGTGTGTGTGTGTGTGTGTGTGTGTGTGTGTGTGTGTGTGTGTGTGTGTGTGTGTGTGTGTGATGCATCTGCGCTTTTGTGCGTGCATCCATGTGCAAACCTCCATGTGTAGCTGTGTGCTCATGTATTACCTAACCATGTCAATCTCTCAGGTGTATGTGTAGGTATCTTTCAGGTTTGGTTGCGTGCATGTATGTTTCCCCCAGGTGTGTTAATGTGGGTGTGTGTGTGTGTGTGTGAGCCCTTCATGGTCACTGACTCTATTCACCTGAGCCTTCCTTTCACAGTGAAAAGGCAGTTGCCGGTGAAAAGCTCTCTGGACAGCTTCTCTTCATCACCAACCACAGCTGCTGTTGACTCAAGCGCCCAGGAATCTCCTCGGCGGGTTAACACCCTTTTAACCAGCCAACCGCGCACCAGCACCCTGAGAGAGGGAGCAAGAGGTCCTGCAAGACCTCAAGGACTACAGGACCAAACATTTGCTCTGGCAATGGACAAGATGTAGTCAAAATGCAGCCATCTTGTTGGTCAGAGGAAGTGGGGTTGCAATAGAGAAAAGCAAACCTTGAACCATCATTTCAATGGCTTACTGACGCAAGGTGAAAATATGCTCACTGACTCACTCACCCAGAACATTTTTTATTTACATTATAAGCCTCTTTGGTATCCATGGTTATAAGTGAACGTCATACACTTCACATTATTTCTGATAAATGCAGTAAAACTGATTAAAGGTTTTGTCTCTCAACAAAATGTAATTGCTAAAACAGATAGGCATTGAAAATCCTTTCTTTAACATTGCTACTTGACAACTAGTCATGTTGACAGAAGGTTTATGTCAAAAGAAAAAGAAAACAGTGATTTTAACCCAACAAAGGACTCATCCTTCGTCTCAGCGCCTCTGGAATGTCTTCACACTCCTCTGCACAAAGTGGAACAAACTGAAACACAAAGGCCTGCCAAAGGTTTCATTCAACAAGAGTTTCAGTTGTAATGTACAGCAATGACAAAGACTATATCCTGTTGTGTTGTTGTGAGCGTTCCTGTACACACAAATGATTTGCAGGAAGCTTTTTCATTCTTTGACCTGAAGCCTCTCTCTGCAGAGCAACAACAATACACACTTCTCTCTATTCAGCCGATAATATTAAACAGATTCAACTGAACGATCGCAGACTAATGACTTGAACAAATTAAATGTAAATAACTTTTTTTGAGTTAAAGAATGTTAATAAAAATCTGCATTTGAGACACTTTACACAATAATAATACATTTATTAGATACAACAGAAAATGTGCAGTCATGATAAG